ATTTATTTTTTGATTGTAAAATTATATTTAATTTATTATTAAAAACTCATACTTTGTTGTGTTTAATTATATAATCTAATAAAATAAATATAAAAAATGCATATAAATTTTTTTCCTTATAATATTGTTTAAAAATACATTACAAGAGAAAAACAGATAAATGATATGAGAAATTAAAGCATTATTGTTTAATTGAGATAATAAAACTTTAATCCTTTAAGTTTGTTTCACTTATTGATTTGATTTTTTGAATTTAATTTTTGTCAATTTAGTATCTAAAGTTTATATCAATTAATGATTTGGTTCTTATTGTATAAAGAAGAGGTAAAATTATTGAAATTTGCTAAATTGATAACAAATTAAATATTGATGACAAGAATGTAGATAAATGAAAAGAAATATAATTACATTTAGGTAGAAAAAACATACTCAGAAATTTCAAAAAATAAAGAAACAAAAAATGCAGTGTAAGAGACCAAATTAATAAAAATTAAACTAATTCAAAAGCTAATTTATTCCTATTTAGCTACATATATATGTTAAATCATCAATATATTTTACATATTAGATTAATTTGAGATTTAATTTGTTTTTAAAAATTTAAAAGACTAACATGATAATTTAAGAAATAGTAAGATTGATACAAATTAAACTTGAGAGACCAAATTTATTCTCTCTATTTAGGTCAATAAGCACATCATACATTCATGAAATAGTGATACAAAAACGTGATTGTGTGTAGTTTCATATTTCATAATTGTAGTTATAACTTATACTTCCTTTAGGTCAAAATATAAGACATTGATAACTGATTTACAGTTAAAAAAAATATTAGTTAAAACCTTAATTTCTTAAAAAAAATTTACATCTTTTCAATTTTATCCTTATTAAATATTTTGTATAAGTACTTTGATAATGATAATTAAATTTATAATGTATCATTTTTTTTTCAAAAAGAAGAGTAATAAATAAAATACAGATTTGGTTTGAAAAATAATTATAAAAATTGTTTAATATCCTATATTTTGGACTAAACAAGACTTATGAAAAATGCTTTATATTGTGGTTTAGAAGGAGTAATCTCTTTGCATTTATGATAAAAAAAAGAGTAGATTTTGTATTAATTTCTTTATTCTTCCTTTCTCTATCTTTACAAAATGCAAATTGTCACCCTTTCTTTTTGATAATTGAAGTAGACTTTAAATTGATATTCATCTTTTGGTCAAAAAATTGATATTCATTTTCAAATAGACAACTGGAATCCGCGTGTATATAATTATTAATTTAATTTTGCTCAAATTTCAGCTCCCCATCATGAATTTGGCTTTGGTTTTTTTTTTTTTTTAGTCAAATTACTTGTCGGAAATGAAAACGGAAAGTCCAAGAGTAAATGTAACCCATTAGATAAGCGGCAATAAATTTGTTAGAAAAGTAAATATGATTGAGAATAATTAATGAGACTAAAATAATGCTTTAACGTGTTGCATGCAGGAAATGCAACAGAAAATAGATTAATATGCACCGCTTAACCAACTCATTATTCCTTTTCTAGAAAGTAACAATTATATATATATATATAAAACACGCATTATTCAAACGTAATAAAACAATTTTCTGCAGAGTGTTTTTCTCTTAAAAATAGTAAAGGTTATATTAATGATAAGGATAATATTAATCAAATAGTGCCAGCCTTATCATGTTATTATTATATAAATATTCCCCACAAATTAAAATCCTTTGCCTGCCGACCCATATAAATAAATCATGACATGAATTAATAACATGACGAGGATGATGATTAATCTAAAATATGTTAGCATGCGAGAGGAATAAAATCAGATTAATTATTTATAGAATGAAAGTACAAACAAAAAGAATACTTGTGGAATGATAAGATTTTGATTCCCACCAAAAAATTAATTAAACTTGTATTCAATTTATATAGACGTACAAATTAATGCCACGTACCACCGCAAAGGGCGTGTGTTTGTGCTATACATGGCAGGCTCTAAGTATCACAAATAATAAACAAGCGTAAGTATGTATTTATATATATAGTCCTCATTAGTTGGATTAAATTAAAATTCCGTTTTAAAAAACTTAATAATTTAATAAGGAGAAAAATTGAAAATAAATAAACAAATAAGTGTTGCTTAGTATGTGTGTTATTTGACACTGGGTTTTTGCTTTGGAGGAAGTATCTTTGACGCTAGATTTTACGCGTAAGCTTATATTATAGGGCTTGAAAACCAGCCATGTCATGGCTGGTGAGCACTGAATACAACTTTTTTTTTCACTGGTATAATTTTTGAAAAAAATTACATCCAGCTCCTTTTTAAAGGAATTAATTATAGATAAGGATCAATATTAAATGAATTGTTGTTAAAATATGAACATGATTTGTTATTAGTCCTTACTTGTGATAAATTTTCTTGGAAGGGGGTTGAATGTAATTCTCCCTATATTTTTTGTTGTTGCTAAAATAGCTCAGACACTTTTTTTTTTTTTTGTTTTGAAAAAAACGCTATTACTTTCGAGTGAGAAAGTAAGCTGGTTTGCTTCAAACGAGATTATACTGTGCGCACTCATTATTCTTATTATGAGTTTTGAGGGTTTAATTAATGAGTCATATTGATGTATAGGGCCCCCTCGTATAAAATATGAATCAATAAGAAAGAATGTGGAGTCGAGTAATATAATGTTTGGTGAGTAAAAAAATATTTTTTTTAACAAATGAGAAATGTAATTATTTTATTTTCTTATTTATTTAATTTTTAAAAAATATTTTTTCAAGTACTAAACATGGTTTAAGAATTCTCATATAGCAATTCTATTTTTCACCCACACTTATTCCTTCTTTCTCACGGAGAATTTTTGCACAACTTTTAACCGTGATATTAACGAATAATATATATATATATATATATTGCTTCTAGATTATAACATAAGATATTTTTAAAACCCTCACTTAATTCAAAATATACATCATGTATGCTATATATATATTTTAATTATATTTTTACTTTATTATATTCCATCCAAGTAATTAATTAATGAGAATGTTTTGAATGAGTCAAACAAAGGAGAGGCACGTTCTATGAAGTAAAAATTGTGCTCTCTCATATAAAGCATGAGAGGTCAGGAGTTCAAGTCGAGTAGCTAGAGAAGACAAGGAAAAACAAATGGGTTCCAAAATTTATTTATTTTTGTTACAAAAAAAACTCTAAAAATTTGTGACAGACATATATTTATTCCATGGATTAATGATGATATATTTTTAATGAATTTGGTAACAGAAATTTTCATCACAAGATTAAAAATTAGTAACAAATTATGCTATTTAGTGTCAGATTTATCCATCACTAATATCAATTTTTTAATGATAATTAAATGAAAGTGTTTTGAATAAATCAATTATTATGTTTATTCCATTTAAGGGGATTGAAAAGCTGTAAAAAAATTTAAAAATTTAATATTTTAATCAATTTTTTTAAAAAATCAATTAGTCAACAGTAACTTATATTATGGTCTAAAAGGAATACATAAATAGATAAGTATGGATGCATTGAATATGCCTAAGCAAGACTCTAAGGACTCTATTTGAAAGTAGAGTTCTCTTGCATACCTTTTTTTACAAAAAAAAAAAAACTCATGGATATCTTTAATCATTTGTGTTAGCGAGTGTGTTACCCATTTGTTCGCTTATTATTAAATGCTTATGGTCTAATCAAAGGTTGAGGATATTTGTGTATGTTTGGACCTATATGTTTTTCTCTATGCCATTATCTCTATTATGTTTAAGATCTTATTTTAAAAGAATGGATGAAGGTGAGGAGTCAAAACATATACTCTCTCAATTTAAAAATGTAAGGCATTTTTAACAGAATTTCACTCTCAATAAAATAATTACCTACTTTTAAATTAATCCTATTTTTCTATATTTACCCATATTAAACACTCTACAATAAATACAAAGTCATTCATCAATAAGAGCACTTTTAAAAAAAAAATAATAATTACATCCCAAAAGACATTTAAACATTTAATTTTTTAAAAAATATCTTATATTTTTAAATAAAAAAATATACTTTATCATCAAATAAGATCTTAGTTTAATTGATAGAAAATTGTAATAGTTCGATCGAATGTTTCAAATTTAAGCTCTAGAAATGTAATCACGTTAAATATTTGGCAAGAGAGTTTTGTCCCTTTTAATGGGTGGGATTGGGATACCAAGTAATCTTAAAGAGTAAAGAAAAAGTTACAGAAATAATTAATAGAATGTATGGTTTACAAGTGCCTCTTTTTGTTGCCGTAACATGTTGAACTAAACTTTTCATATCTTTCAAAAGAGATAGGACAGAAGGCAGTTCAAGTTGTCGAATATAACAGAATGGAGGCTTGTTTGAAAAGGGGAAGGTATGCCCCAAAAACTTCCTCGTTCCTAAGATTGCCATGTTCACCAACTCAACATTAACCTAAAATACGTAGCAAATCCCTAAAATTGATAATCTAGGCAGAGGAATCTTCTTTTACATCTATCCACGTACTGTCTGCAAATTCATATATACTCAGTCCTTCATCACATACCTTCTGGAAAGTCTGAGTTATATTCTTGAACAGAAATATTAATGTGGTAGCTAGGATTTTCATCTTACAGCTTTGCTGCAGACAAATCCAGTTAGCAAGATAACCCTGTCTGGTTTTCTTAGCCTTTTTAATAATCTCGGACTTACCCCCACGATCTCAAAGCCGTCCTTCTTCAGATGTCCTTTTCATTCTCTCTAAACCCAAATATCATATTCATTCCCCAACCCCACGTCTCCAAATTGACAGTTGTAACTCTCTCTCCCCCATCTCAGTCTGCTGTGCAATATTTGACCATTGTGCTTCTCTCTTGCCTGTCCAGATGATTAATTATTTTAATGCAGACCAAGTGCTTGAAGTGGGTCCTCTGAGAATTTCAAGTGGTCCCATCAAGGGCTTGGGTCTGAAATTTGATTCCACCGTACTAGGACTTTGTCTCATGCTGATTATTGGTGATAATGAAACCAATCCCTGTCTTCTATTTCATTTATGCTAGTTGGGTATAAATAGAGGAACACACATCTCACTTCTCTAGAGAGGCAAAGAAACAGAATCTTGGCTTCTTCTGAGGGGGGAAAAAATAGAACAGCTTCAAAGACAATGGAGGCTTCTGGGAGGATTTCTGAAGAGTGGAGTTCTCTTAGTGGATTATACACAGCTGAGGAAGCTGATTTTTTGAATCAACTTCTTGGTAGCAACTGTTCAGTCCCAGAAGGGCTAGTATATGAAAATTCCACTTTGGAATTTCCATATGCATTTTGGCCTGGACAAGAATCAACAGTTGTGAGCGTGGCAGGCATCAACAACAACACTACATATTTTCCTTCCAGTGATGCTAATGCTAGCGCTAATTTTTTCTGTTTCTCACAAGGCAATAGCTCCAGCACTGATAGTGGTGTTAACTACCACCCTAATGATCCATTAACCAATTGTGATTCTGTGTCTATGGATTTTTCTCTGGGTAATGCCAAACTTGTCCTGTATAGTGTTCAAAGCAATGACCATTTGAGCCAACAGATAAATGAAAATAATACCGATGAAGAGTCAGGTCTGGACCCAGTTAAAAGGGTTCTTGCTGCTGATGACAAGACCTTTCAGGCTAATCAGGAATTTGAAGCACTTGTTTGTTCTGAACCAGCTGACAAGGGTACAAGCACCAATCCGGAGAAGTCAGAGAAAAGGTCTAGGAGCTCATGCGAGGTAACCTAATGTTAAAACAACATGCCCTTCACGTCAAACTTTTTTCCCCCTTCCTCTGGCAGAATTTAAGCCAGTGTGTTCTTTTTATTATGCAGGTGTCGAAGAACAAGAGGAATGTTAAATCAAAGAAGAATGCAAAATCTGAATCTATGCGCAAAAATGAAGAAGATGGGAGTTTTCAGAGGCAGAGCTCGAGCAGTTGCTGCTCAGAGGATGATTCCAATGCTTCTCAGGAGCTAAACGTGGGGTCCACTTCATGTTCAAGTCCTAAAACTTCTGCATCTCTCAAGTCTAATGGCAAATCAATGTCTGCTAAAAATCCTGCCACTGATCCACAGAGCATATATGCAAGAGTAAGTGCCCGGTAAATGGAGTTTCTATCTATCCATTTTTTCTAAAGGCAAAGAAGAGCTAAGAGGTTTTCCTTCTGCATTGTGCAGAGAAGAAGAGAAAGAATAAACGAAAGGCTGAGAATTCTACAGAACCTTGTCCCCAATGGAACTAAGGTAGATTTCTCTTCCTCAATCGCAATTTAACTATGGCTATAAACTCCATTTTGGTCCAACGTCATTGTTAACTGGCTCCCTGGGAAATTATCTTTGATTGAGAGCAAATGATGTTTTACTCTTGTTAAAACCTTTGATCTAGATGCTTATATTCTGAACTTCTCTTCCTTGATGAATTGCAGGTGGATATAAGCACCATGCTTGAAGAAGCAGTTCAATATGTGAAGTTTTTACAGCTTCAAATAAAGGTAACTGCATGAAAAGCAACTTTACTTTGCATATGAAAACGAAAGATAATGATTAGATTATTTCTTTGTTTTCTCACATTTTCAATTTAACTCTTGACAGCTTCTGAGCTCTGATGATCTGTGGATGTACGCTCCTATTGCTTACAATGGATTGAACATTGGACTAGACCTTAACATCACACCTACCAAGCAATCATAGGAAGTGCATAGGATAGCAGCAATTCAGTTACTGATTCCTACAGAGAATGGACTAAAGTAATAAATTAGATAAAGTTTCTAAGTATTCTTGAACTTCGATATATCAATAAGAATGGATTTATTGATTCCTTAGGATAACACTTGGGAGCAGAGAACTACAGCCAAGAATGGTGTTGGTTCACTAATCTCAAGTCATTAGATTCTTATGTATGATATTATAAGACAAATGATTTTGAAATTAGCTTGAGTTTCTAAGCTACAGACCCTGTTCAATTTTCTGCAGAATTGACCTGCAATAATTGATAATTGGCTAGATTGTACTTGTGACCTGTATGTTTCAGTCAAGAGAGCAATTTAGTCTCCTTTGTTCTTTTTTCGGTTACCCTTGTTTGTTTGAATTAGAGAAACACCTAAGCTCTTTTTGCTTGTTTGTTTGAGAAATCTAGTAATTGAAATGCTAATTAAAGTAATGCTAATTAAAGTAATATTATCTCTCTAGTTAATTACGGAATTAGAACACTTTAAAATAACAATCATCCACGACAATTGTTTAATATCTTTTGATAACAAATAATACTGTATATCATTGTCATTAATTAATTTTTCATAAATAATTAGGGGACTAAATTGTCATTAAACTTGAGGGGGTGAGAATTAAATTGAAATACAATGTATATGTTAGCGCAATATGCTAATAACAATTGTGTCCTGAGTAATAGCTATACCTTTTAACTTAGTGATAAATGTTGAATCTAACAAAAAAATTTAGATACATTCACATATGAAATTGGGTTTTGGTTTGACTCTCTCTAAAGAAAATAAAAGTCAACTAAAGGTGTACCTACCCTGGTTGATCTAACATTTTGCTCCGATGTTGAAAACTTGGAATCAGATTATAATAAGAAAGGATGAGAAAAATAAACGACCTCTCTATTTGCAGTAAAATCATTGTGAACTAATTGGAATCAGCATTTTTTAACCTTCCAACTAATGTTTGGATGATATCCCTTAGATGTTCATCATTAAGTTTTCTAATAATCTTGGAACAAAATGTTTTTAATGAATTTTGTTATTCTAATTGCACGTTACATTTATTTTATGCACATGATAATTTTGGAAACATATATTCTTAATAGTCTAAAGTATATTTTTTATTTTCTAACTTTATATAAAATTTTAATTTAATCCTTTAATTTTATAAAGTACTTTTTTAATATTTTAATCTTAACACTGTTAGTTTTAAGTGATTTTTTTTGTGTCAATTATTGTTATTTTAAAAAATTAATCCTAATATGTCAATATTTGATAACATTTTATCAATATTTAAAAGTTTGATGTAAAAATTTTTGATGATGAAACTAACGATATTAAAGATAAAGGATTTAAGATACACTTTTTAAAATTAAAAAATTAAAATAAAATATTATGTAAAGTGAAATGACTAAATATATACCTTAACAATTTTAGTAGATAAAATTGTAACTAGAACCTTGTGGACCATTGATATTCTTTGTAAATAAAATCCTTAGCACTAAGATCAAAGGTTCCAACTTTTAAATAGAAAAAAAAAATTCATGTCGAAAATGTTGCCCCTAAATTATCGCAATAACAAGTGAATTTCCTTCAGAAACATTATATTTGTACAAAAATAAAACATAATAGTTCGAGTTAGAACATCTCAATATTCAATTTTTTAAAACTCCTTGATTGCCAGAAAATTACATCATTTATTTTAAAAATTAAATTGAATGTGTCAGATTTATTTGGGTATAAACAACTTCAAATCCTAAACACTACATAAGTGTCCAGCAATACATCTTGATGGTTAAGGCTCTTATAACCTAATAGTATTAACACCCCTCTTTTGATGAGTAGATTGTGTGCTCAATCCCCAAGATGAAAACAAGTGGTGGGTGTGTGTGTCTTTATCTTTGAGGCAGGAGTGTAGATATGAATGAGCGTGTGATTATGACGGGCAATTGTCCTTTACCAAAAATTTGAAAAAAAAAAAAATACAACTTGACGTTTCCCCCAACATCCGTCTTCAAAATTAATATCCTGCCTTTTAAATTGACACCATCAATTTTTAAAAATATGAGATTCCAAATCCCACACTCTTGTCGTACAAAAGTATAAAATGCTTAAAGAAATCAATCTAAAAAATAAGGACAGAGAAGAAAAAAAAAAAGGGTTTAAAATTACAATCTGATCATCAAATGCGCTGAGAAAGATGATGTACGGTAAAGTGAAAACACTGAAATTCCAGACTCAAGTGAGATTTCGTGGCCACCCCTTCAGTATGAAGCAGACTACATTCCCAACAAGAAGGAAAAAAAAAATGCGGGACAAGTAACTTGTGGATATTCTAGTATCCATATATGATACAGCTAAAGATAATATATAAAATTCAATGCACAGAATTCTGAATGGGCTCATAAAGGAAATAGGAAAAGCCTCATCCATGAGATCCCAAGAGATTGGCACGTTCTCAGCTTTCATGCTCTTTCATCGTTGACATGATTGGGAACTTCTGCTTGGCTGTCCAACGGCATATACTGTGCCATGATTGCTCTGATCTCAGAATCCATGTATTGCTGCAGAAAAACCCACACAAATAGCAGTCAAAAATTGTACACAAATTACACAGGAACCATCATTCACGGATAATCAACCCCGAATATTATTAAGCAGGAAATGTTATGTCAGCAAATCGAGGCTATCTTCTTGCTATGGAGTCATTTAGTACAAAATGTTAATATATTGACCAAAGTGGTATCATCTTAAGCAACCTGGTCTCTTTATCAATGCAAGTTGGCATATTTGAAGGTTATGGATCTCATTCCAACAAAAGCACACTACTCTCCTTAGTCCTATTTATAACACACCTTCTAAAAATAATTTTTGGTCCAAAATATAGAACACCTTGTGATGATTAAACAACTTTTTTCAATTTTACCCCTTCTTGATTAGTGTGAAGGTATGTAATGTAATTGTATTATTATTTAAAACCAAGAGTAAAAATGAAAATTCATATCACCTTTTTATGATATTAAAAAAAAAACTTTTTTTAATAAACGTAAAACGGATAAAAGTGTCCTATAATAAGGACAAGAGGGAGTATATGGCTATGGAAATTTGGTGGGAAGGAAAGCATCCGATAAAATCACCAAACTGATGACAGGTCAACGAGCTTACCCTTATTCTATACTTGTACACAAGATATGCCCCACCAGCAGCAATTGCTAAGCCGACTAAAATGACCCAAAAAGCTGCCCATGCAGATCTTCCCTCACTTGCCGTCTTACCTGTAGATTACCCAGCAGGGAATATGAAATCAGGTCCAAACGAAGTATATGAAAAAGATATCGAGAGTGTAATGAACTCACTTATGCAGGCATCATGGTCTCGTATATACAAAAGATTCCCGCTACAACTGCAGTCATAACTCCCCCAGGTATTCTTGCAGCTACATTCAGGGCACTGACAAGCTTTCTTCTCTTTGCACTCATCAATATCTGCGAAAAAGAACAAGGAGTTCAATCTCACTCTATCATTTTCCCGTTGTGTGGGAAACATTCTGTAGGTTTTTGACTCGTTTCACTTTACAGTTAATACAGTCAAGTTTGCAACACTTGTCCAAAAACCAAGGATTAAGACCCCACAATTACTTCCCAAATAACATGAAATGATGAAGGGTAAAAAATTCCCATTTTACCTTCTATAAAGGTTTCAATTGACACATGGGCGCAATGGAAATGCTATAACAGAGGACCATATCTCAATCTCATTCTGTCATTTTCCAGTCACAATGCTTGATCCAGGCGATCAGCATTAAGGACTCAAAGTATCAATAGTATATAATATTAAACCATGGACCCGATTCCTGATAGAATTTAAATTTATAGAAAGCATTAAAATGTTCCACTTTAACTTAACGAAAAATATTATATTAGATCCAGCATTTTATTGATGATAAACGCTGTAATCAGCTAGCATCCTGGATAACAAAATTGAACTACCAAGGTTCTGGTCCCAGGAAAAAAAAAAATGTCACCCAATATACATACAAGGTTTCAGCATCCCTCACCTTCACAACTTTTGACACCATCCCCTCTAAACCCTGGAGGACATTGGCATTTAACCTCCCCATCATCCTAACAAAAAATTTGGTCATTCACAAAGACATGAAATTCAACTATCATAAATTTCAAGGTGACAAACAATATGAGCAGAAGATACTCAAAATGCTCACCGAACAAGCAGAAAATGCATGTCCATTCCGGGCTTCATGCCAACAACCTCCATTGTTTATCTTGCACCTGCCAGGTCCACTGGCTGCAAACCCAGAAGAAACCAGAATGAATGAAACTATGAAATATAAAGAAGCAAAAGAACCACGTGTTTTACTTGCTTGTGAGAGTGAGAGAGAAGGCCAATGACAGCACCCGTTAGAAGGTTAGGGCCATCAGCCCTCCCATCAATGTAGTTGATGACAAAACATATCCACACAAAAAATGGATCAAACTACTTCATTTAAGTTCCATGCCAATAAGCATATATTGCAAGGCATCGTGCCAGTAATTTCAACATGGAATGATTTCTTTGATGTAAGCAAGAAATCTCAAATCAAGACACAAAGTGACAATGTTGCTGATACCAAATCATTTGGGAGATCCCCGATTCTCCCCCCCCCCAAACACAAAAAAAAAAAAAAAAGAACACTGAGCAAACACAATGGCAGTAATTCAGATGAAATCTAACAGAATTCACTGTGATTATGAAAGCAAACGCCAAAACCTCTACTAATGAAAAAGCTACCCTCCAAGAATTAAGACATGCAAGATTCCCTAGTATTTTCAAACAAGAAACTGTCCAATGAGCGAGCAAGTCCAAAATCTACATTGCATAAGGATCCATGAGTCCCAAACTCCCAATGCTACAATAGCAACATTTCAAATGAACGATTATTTAAAGGACCTTGTGTCATCAACAAATTAACAAGCACCCAAACACTCAAACAAATCAGATATCAATTTCCTTGGAGAAATAAACTCCCACGGAAGCATTAAAGCTAACACTCTAGGGGAACTGGCCCTCTTAATCCAAAATCTCTCTTCACAGTCCCCAAAGAAATGTGCACGCATATGGGCATGGGAGAGAGAGAGAGCAATGAAATTTCTAGTTTGGGTAGGAATTCTTAATTTTATACGAATGAGTAGCAGAAGAATTCCACAAATATTA